TAGTCCTTGTTCCTGCCCCCACCCACTCTTACCACCCTAAGGTCCCTGAAAAATACTCTTGCCTCCTCACTGATGTCCCTCGACAAACTCCATTCCCAGGGAGGTCTTTTATGTGGTTCTAGGGCTAATGTTCCTCTGGGCAGTTCCCAGGTTGCCAATGTGCAGAGCACATCCAGGGAGCCTTGTTGTGTTCTTGGGGTACCATGACTCTAGCTGAACTCATGGGAAAGCTAGATTTAGGGACTTCTGCAATGCAGAAGGACTAACTGCTGATGTCTGGGTTCTTGTCTGTCTGATCTATTTGGGAATCTCCCCAGTTGTATTCAGGGCTGTTTCGTTGCTTTTGCTCTGCTCAGGCGGTCTCAGACTACAGCACGCTTTTATAGATAAGCCCCCTTGTCTGTCTGGCCCACAGGTTATCTGAGTAGACAGGTTGGAGCAGGGCAGTGGTGGGGGCCAGAGCTGCAGGTGCCTGTGGGGTTATGGGTCCCCGCTGGTTCTCACCCGCTCTGACCTCAGGTCATGTATGGAGGCCGGGCCATCGACAGCTTTGACCGGCGTATCCTCACCACTTACATGGACGAGTACCTGGGCGACTTCATCTTTGATACCTTTCAACCATTCCATTTCTTCCGGAACAAGGAAGTGGACTATAAAATCCCCGTGGGTGACGTGAAGGATAAATTTGTTGGTGAGCTGTTCCAGGGTGAAGAAAGTTCTTTGCAAGATGGCAGGTTTCTTCTGCTTTTTCTGTGGTTGACTCGGGCTCTTTGCCACCCTCTCCTGATGGGACTCCTGGGCTGGGCAGGTGAGGCTGTCCCCTGGGCTCTGCCTCACCTCAGAGCTGCCTCTTGGCTGAGGTCACCAACCCTGGAACCTCACCTTGGAAGGTCGTTGAGCCACCTGCATGACAGATAAAGAACATGTGGATGGACAAGGTGGAATAGGCTTTTATTTTAAAATGCATCAGCAATGGAATCACTTTTGATTCTGGTGACAGGGCAGGGGGTGTCCTCATGAACACAGTACAACCTGCTCCCTCCCTCTCTCCCTCCCTCTCTCCCTCCCTCTCTCTCTCCCTCCCTGTCTCCCTCCTTCCCTCCCTCCCTCTCTCCCTCCTTCCCTCCCTCCCTTCCTCCCTCCCTTTTTCTCTCCTTCTCTCCCCCCTTCCCTCCCTCTCCCTCCCCTCCCCTCCCCCCTCTCTGTGATTCTAGAAGCCATCGAGGCCCTCCCACTCGCCAACACGCCAGAAGTGTTTGGTCTCCATTCCAATGCTGAGATCGGCTACTACACACAGGCGGCTCGAGACATGTGGGACCATCTGCTGGAGCTACAGCCACAGACAGGTATAGCTGCCAGGGAGCTCGCCAGCTTAGGGACAAGGGGTGCTAGTGCTGGGTGCAGGTAGCTTCCCAAAGAACAAGAAGGCTCGCAAAGCCCCATCTTCCATATGGCTAGCCTCGAAATCTCTTAAAGTGTCATCCTTCCAGGGGAATCCAGTAGTGGCATCAGCCGTGATGACTACATTGGCCAGGTGGCCAAGGACATTGAAAACAAGATGCCCAAGATCTTTGACCTGGACCAGGTGCGGAAGCACCTGGGCTTGAGCATCTCACCCACCTCGGTGGTGCTGCTGCAGGAGCTGGGGCGCTTCAACAAGCTCGCCATTCGCATGACCAGGTCTCTGGCTGAGCTCCAGAGAGTGAGTGTGACCCTATGGGCATGAGGCTGCCTGGCAGGGGGAGCCCCCTGCCATCCACAGTCCTGCTGAGGACACACTGTTCTGCCAACAGGCCTTGGCTGGGGAAGTTGGAATGAGTAATGAGTTAGATGATGTAGCCAGGTCTCTCTTCCTTGGGCACATCCCTCACATCTGGAGGAAGCTTGCCCCTGACACCCTGAAGACCCTTGGAAACTGGATGCTCTACTTCCTGCGGCGGTTCAACCAGTACACACTGTGGGTGAGTGCTAGACCACTGTGGCTCTGTGTCTGCCTGCCCACCCACACCCGTTTCCCCAGGGTTGACCCCTGGTAAAATGTGTATCAGGTGTCCCGGGGATATCCTCAGTTGCCACAGGACAGTCTGTCCTGGCATGCCTTGGCGAGTCTGATTTACTATGCACATGAGATGATTTCTTCTGAATGTCTTGGCATCTGGTCTAGCTCATTCTTTTTAGGGTCTTTATCCTTCCTCCTGGTGGTGGACATGTAGTTGGCAACTGCATACATTTGTGTCACAAAGAGCAGTGTGATCAGTGTCCATGAATGCAGTCAGTGTGTATACCACATACTCTAGAGCACACATGCACTTGATTTATTTGGTTTTTCAAGACAGGGTTTCTCTGTATTGTTTTGGAGGCTGTCCTGGAACTCACTCTGTAGGCCAGGCTGGCCTCGAACTCATAGAGATGCTCCTTCCTCTGCCTCCTGAGTGCTGGGATTAAAGGCATGTGCCACCAATGCCCGACTGATATGTTTATTTATTGCTATGAGATAGTCTCTAACTTTGTAGCCCAGGCTGGCTTGAACTGGTGGCAAACCTCCTGCCTCAGCCTCCCAAGGGTTGGGATTACAGGTGTGAGCTGAAGTCTTGTCTGTGGGTTTTCTAGAAAGTTGGTCATGATTCTTGGGGAGTGCATGTTTTCTTCTGCAAATCTGTGGTCACTGACACAGGAAACCTGGTCTTTTATCAGCTCTGAACCTGGTGTTACAGCCCAGGCTCCTACTCCTCCCCACCTTCCCTACCAGGTTACCGAGAGCGAGCCCAGCGTGATGTGGCTCTCAGGGCTGCACATCCCAGAGTCCTACCTCACAGCACTGGTACAGGCCACATGCCGGAGGAATGGCTGGCCGCTGGACCGGTCCACTTTGTTCACACAAGTGACCAAGTTCCAGGACGTCGATGAAGTAAATGAGCGTGCGGGGCAAGGTAGTGATGGTCACATATCCTGGTCTCCATTTGGGGCTTCCCTCCCAGAACCACCCCCAACTCAAAGGGATGAGCACCGTGTGGATCGGGCCATGCTTGAGCTGGGCTGCTGCCTGTGGTGCTATTTGTGGCGTCTCAGAGCAGAGTTTCTCACTGGAGACTAGCAGAGTCACAGGGAGGATGGCAGCGAGGCCTGACCATGCTCGTTTGTGGCAAGTGGGCGCCTGGGTTCATGAATTTTCAAAGAGATCAGTGAGTGGCTTCCCCTGTAAGGGAAGAAGTATAGGAACCAAAGAGCCTCAGTCAGGCACAACCAACCTTTTGATGTGTGAAATGACACTGTCAACTACACAGTTCCTACCTGAGAACTGTATAATCGGTTTTAAAATTATGAAAAAACCCTCATACTCTTTTAAGTATGTCTGCAACTGTGTTGGGCTTTACTCATCCCTACCCTCAGCCCATGGGACACATCTGCCAGATGTGCTGATTTGAGCCCGACTAGCAGCACTCTGTGTAGATGCTAGCTGGAAACTCTTCCCCTAGCCAGAGCCCACTGAACTGCAAGGAACAGAAGCCCCTTTGTGTCTTTTTAACGAGAGTGGATTAATAATGGGCAAGTCTCGGGGACCCTCAGATAGGTCTGACTGGTAAGCATCCAGCTGCCACTCTGTGGGGCAGGTGGACAGCTTTTGCCTTTGGTGAAAGCACTAACCACTAGACCATCAGTAAGTATTGGCATTCTTGGTTTTGGGGTCTCTGCATGCTAGAAACCACACTCCTCTTGGACGTCCCCTTTGCTTCAGAGGATGCTGGGATTGTTGTGTGCCAGCTCTGAGCTGTATACCCTGAAGCCAGAGCCCAGGGAGAGAGGTGCTACCTGGACCCACTTCCTTGGAGCCCTGTCATCTCCTGTCTAGCTATTCTTTTGCATGTGGAAGGGAGTCACAGTAGCTTTTATACTTGTCCTCTGCACACCTGTGAGAGGAAAGTAACCACACAACAGGACACAGATTCTTGTCACCCCCAGGGTGCTTTGTCTCGGGGCTCTACCTGGAGGGCGCTGACTGGGACATAGAGAGTGGGTGTCTTATCAAGAGCAAGCCCAAGGTACTGGTTGTGGACCTGCCCATCCTGAAGATCATCCCCATTGAAGCTCACCGCCTGAAGCTACAGGTGACAGTCACTTCCCTGACCCCATGGTGCCTTCCCTCCTCTCAGGGCAGGCTAGGGAAGCTCTGGGGCCAGTTCAGCAGAAGACATTCTTGTATACATGCATGTGGGTGCCCATCATCCCCAGGGGACATGCCCAAGTTTAGAGCCTGTAGTAGACTCGGGGGGGGGGGAACTCCCTTCTTAGGAAATCTGGACACACTATGAGTCAGAAAGTGGCTCCATCTAGTGTGGACAGTAAGTGCCTTCTACTTTGCCTGGCTGGGAACCATCTTTGATGAGTGTCTGTGGACCAGGCAGCACTTGCCCAGCTACTCCATGGTACTCAGATGTAAGCCTGGGACTGCTGCAGATGAACCCCATCTAGCTATGAGCTGATGCCTCCAGTCCTGAGGATGTCATGTCACCTGCCTCTCCCTTACAGAACACCTTCCGGACCCCTGTCTACACCACCTCCATGAGGAGGAATGCCATGGGAGTTGGCCTAGTGTTTGAAGCTGACCTCTTTACCACGAAGCACATCTCACACTGGGTGCTACAGGGGGTGTGCCTCACCCTGAACTCAGATTAACCCCAGAATGTGGAGGACTACATGGAGCTACCATGCCTATGACGGGCCACACAGGTTCTGATGCTTCACAAAGAATGGGAGACGGGTGTTGTTTTAGGGAACTTCCCTAGGGGGCCAGGTGCAGTGGTGGTGGAATTGGTCATATAAACTAACTTTTCCATTAAATGAACCTTGTTTTGCAACGAGTTTTTGTGTGTGGGTGCATGTCAATCTTGTTGTTCATAACGTCTCATTATCCTGGAGTTTGCTGACTTGCCAAAGCCTCAGTGTCCCTGTCTCCACCTCCCTGGGGCTGGGGTCACAAATCTGCACCACCACACGTAAAGTTTTGTTTTTATGATTTTATTTCTGTGTATGTGTGTGAGCCTGCCTGAATATACGTGCAGCACATGTGAGGTGTCGGGGTCCCTGGAGTTACAGCCAATTTATGAGCCGCCATGTGGTTGTTGCAATCTCTGGGCAGCAGCATCTCCCTAGCTAGCCTTGATTTTGCTTCTCGATCTTCTGAGAACTTTGGACCCAGAACACGCCAGTGCAAGTTTTAAGGCAAGTGCATTCTCTTCATTCCTATTAAGCCACTGGTGTGGGGTTCTACCCGTCTCTGCTCCAGCATGTGTCTGGAGGCTGCTGGGGTCAAGTATTCAGTTCCAGACTCCTCCTCTCCCAGGGCCTTTGTGTGGCTTGGGGATGAATGGCTACTGGCTGCCTCGCTCATACTGTGAAGCTGGGGACAGGGAGGCAGTGTGGAGTCTGGGCAGGACAGAAAGCAGCTTCTGCCAGAAATGCAGGAGCACCAGCATCTCAGCAAGCGCTCGGGGCTGCAAGTACCCCCACTCCCACCTGCTAGTCCTCCCTCCCCCCCACTTCCTCCACAGTCCCTCGGTGCGTCAAAAAGACACAGAGGAAAAGGAGGGTGGGTTTAGAAAGTAACATTTGTTGGATCCTGAACATTTGGATGAAACTAACAAAAAACTTAACAAAAAAACCACATTCAGGTAGGAGGGATGAGGTCATCTTGCTTAGATCATGTGACATACAGCTGCTCAGCAAAGGGACTGTGGGAAGGTAGGAGTCTCCAGGAGGGAGCAGAAGTTCTGCTCTGCTTTCATAGGCTGCCCTGGATCTTGGGAGGGGCGGGTCCTTATTTTGCTTCGACTTCAAGCAGGTTCTGATTCTGAGTGTGGCATGTGATGCAGCCATGGCCTGGCCCTTATCTAGGAGTGTGCCGAGATCTCATGGCGTGGGGCTGGAAGCAAGCTATTGGCATGCAGGCATTGGCCACAGTGCCAGGAAATATCTTCAGTGGGGACACCTTCATAGCAGTGTGTCACTATGAGACCACGAGCCAGGCTGCGACGGTAGGAAACATTTGGCATGGGTGGGGTGAGGAAGGTGTGGGTGAGGTTCCCTGTGGCGCTCACAGTGCACGGATGGCTGCGGTGGTGACCGCAGGCTTCACACAGTTCGGTCCGTCCCTGAGTGCTTTCGCACCACCTTCCCTGCGTTCACTTGGTCCACAGCCCTGGTCTCCCCTTCAGGCTGGGCCTGTGGTGGGCTGGCATGATGGATGCGATGAGCCACCCCGATGTGGGTCTTGTGTGGCTTGTCTCGGGCTGGGCTATGTTGCCCACTGGCGCCACGGTCTGAGGCGATGGGAGGTATGACAAGAGGCCGCTCTTTGAGCTGGACCTCAGCAGACTCCCGGGCCAGCAGGAATGGGGTGGGATCAGGCATTGCATCCACCGGCTCCCGCAGAAGGAGTTTGCGGCTCTCGGCTCCAAACCGGTAGACCTCCTCAAACTCAGGGTGCAGTGGGGCCGACAGGCTCTTCTTCATGCGGCGACGGGGTGTCTCAGGCAGCTTGTCCTTAGGGGGTGTGGGCTTATAGCTGGCCAGTGCAGGGCTGCCGGCTGGGCTGGCGTCAGAGGTGCCGCTGGAGCTCAGTAGCTTTTTCTTGGCTGCATGCAGCTGCGAGGTGAGGTAGGCCACAGTGCTGGCGCGCTGCTCTAACTCACCAGACAGCATGCTCAGCTTGTGGCTCTTCACCTTCAGCTCCTCCAGGTACTTCTTCTCTCTTTCCCGGACCGTGTTCTCCAGCACAGCGATGGCAGCGTTCTTCTGCTCCAGTTCTTGCAGTAACTTGCGGTTTTCTTCCTCCTTGGCCTTCAGCTGGGCCTCCAGCTCTTCACAGCGCCTCTTCAGCTCCGTTGTTCTGGAAGAGCCATCTCCTGCAGGAAAAAGTCAGGTGCCAGGTCAGAGCCTAGCAGAGGAAGGAGATGCTCATGGCCTGTGTGGAGGGCCCTGGCGAGGAGCCCTATGGTAGGCGGGGTGCAGGATAGCCTGCAGACCCTGCTCCCACTAAAGGCGAATCAGGGGGTCTCTAAGGCCCCTCCCAGCTCTTGGTTCCCTGGCTTACTGCGTAAAAGAACGTCTCCAGAATCTGAAGGTGCTGAAGTTAAAACAGCTTGAGCGTCAGCTGGAGTCAGCGTCTCTGGAGTGCCAGCTCTACAAGTGAAGGGTGTCAGACATGTCCCTCAGGCCTAGACCCTGTTCTTCTGCCACCTTTATTCTCCCAGCTGTCCCAATGTGGAAGTCTCCCTCTCTGCTCCCTTTGTTGCTAGCCGGCAGCCTGCTCTCCTCTCTCCTCTGTCTAGCCCTACTTCCCACTGGGTACCACCACCTCCCAGGCCTCCTTTAATCTGCCCTGCTCCCCTTTCTCCCTGGGCCAACAATGACTCCTCACGGCCTAACAAGCTGCCAGTCTGACAGTCCATCTGTTTCATGCCTTCTGCACCCACATGAATGTGAGCTGCCTGTCGCCTTTGTTTCTTCTATGTTGTGACCACTATAGCTGATTCAACTCCAGATATCTGCAGCTAGCCCTGCAGTGCCTGTGGGTGCTGGGAGCACACCAGCAGCTTCAGGTAGACTCTGAGTTACTAGAAGCCCTGTGGGTGGGTGTACACTGCAAACTCACTGGAGGAGTGTGTGTGTGTGTAAATCAGTAAATGGTAGTTCTAGAAATGATGCAGTATTAACTGAGTTGTGTTTTTAGCCATAATCAAAAGAATATAAAAACCCCTACAGCACTAGATCCTCAAGCGCAGTGAGGAACCCCAGCACAGTAAGCAGGCTTGACATCCACTGCTCTTCCTCCAAACACCTGCAGGTGGGCCCTCCCCTCTCAGTCCTGGCTACAGCATGGTAGGTCTGTAACCTCAGGCCTTTGGCTGCATCCCAGCCAGACACAACATTCTGGGATCTGTGTCCTTAGGGAATGCTAAGAGGCCTGACAGATCTGAGACATGAGAGCAGACGCCCTAGTGCTGGTGAAGGACACAGTCCTTGACAGTCACAGGCTCAGGGTCATTATAGATATTGCCAGGCACACAGCCCTAATCCCAGCAGAACAGAAATCCAGGGTTCCTCAGTAAGGTACGTGTTTCAGCCTCCTATCCCTGAGAGGCCTGGGCAAACATTGTCCTCTGAAAATGACCTAGCTACCCAGATGTCTCCTCTCAGATGCAGTCATGTGCGGACCTGGCAGGTGCTTCTAGAAGGCGCTGTTACCCTGGTCCTGTACACACATCCTTTCCAGAAGCGTCTGACTTTCCTTGTCTAGTCCACAGTCCTGTGCTCCCCATGAGAAGTGTACCCCACTGAGCAGCACTGCTTGTCACTGGGCACTCAGTTATGCAGCTCCCAGGCCTCTCCTGCGCTGAACTGAGGGCGGGACGAGTCCTCACAAAATCCACCCAGCCAGGGGCTTTTCAAACTGCTCCCTCTGCTGAAGTAGCAGCCTATACACCTTTAACAAAAGCCACAATGCTGCTGAGGGTGTCCTAAGGGGTGGTGAGGGGGGCTTGAGACAGAGGTTTCAGAGCTGCTGCACACTAATCTGGGCAGAAGGGGGAGGTGTGAGGACACCCTGGCTCCCACAGCATGGGCAGCACCTTCGCAAGGCCTGTGGTGTGGGGGGTAGATCAACCACAAGTTGCAACTCTATCCTGAGTTGCTGTCTGAGTTCCTGGCAGAGGACTTGGCTGTCTTGGCTCTACAGAGAGATTTGGTGGGTAGACTCCTGCACCCACTCAGACAAAACCATGACAGGAGTGCTCAGGACATGATGGGACAGAGTAACAAATGCTCAGTGATATGACCTGAGGCTTACAACAAAGACTGGACTCTTATGAGAGCAGACTACCCTTGTAGAGCTTAGTTAGGGAAAAGGTTTCCCCTGATATGTGTCCTAAACCCTTGTAAGTCCCAGCTCTGTGCTAAGAAACAAGCCATTCTCACAGGCTCAGAGTTCCTACAAGACCCTGTCCCTGTCATTTCTTTGGCCACCACTGGTTTGCTATACCCTTGAGGGTCCCTAGCGATTCTCATTAGGGAAAGCATATCTAGGCTACAGTCCAGAGAACAATGGTCCCAACTTCTGGGCCATGAATGGAAGCCCAGAGCACTCTGGCTTTGGGCCAGGGCTTGGTTAAGCTCTGGAGACTGGGGTAGGAGGTTCTTCTGCCTAGTTCTCACTTTTCCTCCTTTCTGGCAAGTCACATTGAGGTTTATTTCTGGATTACAGAAAGATATACATTCATGGTAGAAAAGTTAAAAATTCTGAAAAGTATATAATAAGACATCCTAGACACATGTATCAATGGGAAGTGAAAAAAAGCCACTCATCACTCAAGCCCACAGGTGTCTTGAGTGCTCTAAACTTGTCTGCTCAGGGAAATGACTCTCACTGCAAAAGGGACCCTAGGCATGTGACTAGTGGGAATACATTACAAAGAAAACAAGATGTACCCACATGTGGGGAGGAGCTCTTACCTGTCAGTTCAAAACTTTTGAGTGTCAGCTCATATGTTAGATCTACAAAGGAAACATGACACATTGATTATCATGGCACACTTCATATCAGTTCCGAAAACAGCATGAGATCCCAGTGAGTTCTGCCCTGTAGAAGAAGCAGGGCTGGAAGCTCTAAGTGTAAGAGATTCCAGAGGTCAAGGTTCCTATCAGGGCTGCAGGAGGACCTGTCCCTCAAGCGTTCCTTTCCTCCTCTTCCCAGAATACACCCCAACAACAGAAAGTGAATGAGGAGTACCCCATGTACTGAAGGCTACACTGTGGCCGAGTGCTGTAGGCATCTGCTGTTCTAGGGTAAGGCTGGCTGCTCAGTGCTTCCATGATGCTGTGTAGTGTAAGACTTACAGGGGTGTGGGCAACGGAGGGTTAAATGTGTGGCTGTATCAGGGTGGGGAGACTACACATCCTGACGGTGGTTCTGGTTCTGTAGAAATCAGCCTGCCCTCACCTGTGCAGTGCTGCTGCAGCCGCCGGATCTCCGCATGCAGCCCCTTTAGTGTGCTGGCGTGCTCCCGCTGGAGGAAGAGCAGGTTCTTCTGTGCACTGTGCAGCTGGTTCTCCAGGTTTGTGGCTGCCATGCTGACATCCAGGTGACCTGCAGGAAACACAAAATGGTGGTCACTGTCCCTAGCATGAGAGTTGAGAGAAGGTGGGGCTCTGGGTACATGTCATGGAAATATGTGGGGAGCAGGTGAGGTCCTGGGGCTCTAGGGCCTCCTTCTGATTGCTGAGGTGCAGACGCTTAAGTCATCTCTCACGGATCACCTGCCATAAGCCAGGTCTCTGTGAGAACCAGCTGAGGGTATGAGTGGCACCCAGTACAGGACTCCAGGCTGCTGCTTATTTCTGGAGAGGAAGAGGTTCAGAAGCAGACTGAAGTGTCAGTAGGTACAAAACAGGGTTTACTCAAATCCAGGCCCCACCTTCCATTGTTCTGACATATGTGACTGGCCCAAAGCACCCCCATGAGATTCCCTGACTAGGAAGCAATAATGCCCCACAGAGAACCTGGGGCCAGGACTACCTGCAGTGCCTCCTACACATTACCTGGAAGCTACTGATGAAGAGACGAGGGGGAGGGAGGAGAAATCTAGAAAGCAATTTTGAGAACAGGGAGAGGCTCTGAGCTCTTCCAAAGAATACTTCATGGGCCATGCAGTGGCTACAGAAGTATGGGGTCCTCAGGTCCTACCCTCAACTCTAACTGGAGCAATGTGAAGTCAGACCATCTTTCTAGAAAAACTAATGGTAGTAATTCAAGACACCTGGCACAGCATTGAGACACACCAAGGACAGAACGTAGACTCTGTGTACCTTTCCTAATGACCAAGATGGAGAGCCCTTCCTGAAGAAGCCCCATTTCTCAAGGGCCTCCGACATCTGCTCAGCATATGATTGTGGTGGCAGCAGCAAAGCCGCTGTCATCACTTCAGGAGTTGTGTTCACCACTAAAAACTGCTTCCAGTGAGACTTCAGATGTGCCTACACTCACGCCATCTGCTGAGGCAGCCAGGCCCCACCCAGCTTTGACTGTAGGAGAGTTGAAAAACGCTCAGAAGGAAATAGAAAAATGACTGACAGGGTCAAGTAGACAATAACATATCCTTGCAGAACTAAGGTGCACCGTCAGTGGTGCAGCTCCCTTCAGAGCTTATCAGTGCCCTCAACAGCAGAACAGCCTTCTGTACCCTCCTCTATCCACCTTCCCAGGATCCCCACGGTTGCAGTCTAAGCTCTGCTGCTTTCCAAGCCCCAGCCTCACATGAGGCTATGTGCCTCACATCCCTGGTCACTGTCCTAGGGAACTGTTTCTTATGGGCATGTGTCTCTTTATCCCTGAACATCCTGTAGGCTTGTCCAGTGCCTGCACCCAGGAGGCCACAGTAAACAACAGTGGCCTACAAGCACCACGGCCCATATTGGCAGGGGCTTCCTTCTCAGGTCTGTAACTCACAGGCATGCATGCCCAGAGAAACTATGTACTTTGTAGTCTGAACTTCAAGACATGTCATGTAGCTCTGAGAGAATAACCTATCTACGTGGGGAGCCAGATACTTGGCTATTATAGTCCACACTGGGCCCCTTGTCACCACCTTGTCCCAATCCCTCGGTGATAGGCAGGTTTTATTTGAAATCCATTTAAGCATGGTTTAAGGAACTGTTCCTCTTTGGACTGCCTTTAGGGAATTAGTGCTTGAACTTAACTCTGGACTCAGGAATTCACTGTCATCTTGCTACTGCAGCTATTATCCTAGAACACACCTAGGTGTGCAAGGAGTGTCATGTAACACCCGGGGAGGCTTGCTGGGCCCTGAATATATGAATGTACTCTGACATTAGGACAAGAACTTTCAGCCCTGTGGTAGTCATGACTGTCCAGGTCCCCTTATGTCCCTTCTCTGGGATGCCCTAATAAGTAGGCTCCAAAGAGGAGATCTGCTGTGCAGGTCTATGGAACAAAGCATGTGCACGTGGGACTGGACTATGTTGAGATGGCTAAGTGTCTTTCTTATCATCTGGGCAGGATGGTGGTGCTACTGAATCCATGGGGGAAAGAGCTGCATAGTTTAAGTCAATGATGCTGTTTTTCTCCTGAGCTATGATACTATACCATCATGATAGACAGTATGCAGGACTTGGAGCTAGCTCCAAGCAACCTGAAGAGTCAGACACATGGGAAAGGGTACACTGCCCGGTCTGGAACTCTGGTGTGATGGATGGAGTCAATTGTGAGTTTTCTGCAGATGGTTAATGGGTCCCAGGTTACTTTCTCTGAGCATCCTGTCAATATTGCCATTCTGTGTGGTAAAGGTACCACACTACTCATGGTCATTCGACTGTCTCTGTGCCTTGCTAAGAGTCACCACCAATTTCACAATTCTCTGCAGGCAGCAGAGCTAGGCACCAGCCCTCTTCTCTTGGAGACTCTACCCTCAGTTGCAGGTAAGGCTCCGAGTCACTCTTATTACCAAGGCCTGGCCCAACCCCAGTGAATGCACACAGACCTGTAGTCTTTCTCTCTAGACAGTTCTAGCAGTGGGAACAGGTGTCCTTTAACAAGGTTACCTTGACTGACTGGAATGATGAGCCACTCAGACACTTGCTGCAGTTACTTCACTCGCACCACAGAACACCATCAGTTTACAACCGTACTGTGTTCAGCAGACCATCAAGGAAAGTTGGTTCTGTAGAGGGTTACAGAGACCCAGCTGCAGTAGCTCCCAGGGAAATGCACCAGCATTTCTGGGGATAAGAAGGGCCCTGACTGCAACTATTCTTGCCATCATTAAAACAAATAAATGGCCTGTCAACAGCCAAGCCCAATTTAGTGGCATCTTGTTCCGCCAAAAGATTTGAGGTACCGGCCTTAGGGTGTGGCTTAGGTGTGTGGACAGACAGGATCCCTTATAATCCCTTATAAGGAAGAGGAGGGGCCTCCTCAGGCAGGAGGATCACAAGTTTGAGGCCCCTCCTCTTCCTTATAAGGGATCACGCCCCCCCCCACTGAAGCCACACCCTAAAGCTGGTTCCTCAAATCTACTGGCAGAACAAGATGCCACTACAGCCCAATTCCCAGCCTGACTCCCAGGGGCTAGTTGCCCCCTAGCTCCAGGGCATTAAGTTCTTCCTGTGGAGCACTTCTGCACCAGCACTACTCATCCCTCTGCAGTCCTCTCTCCAGAACAGAGGGAAGTCATCACTGAACAGGTAAACCAAGAAATGTACCTGAACCTGGCAGCTCCCCTCAGCCTCTGGGTCTGCAACAATAACCTTCAAGGCTGGGCAGATGCAGATTTACACAGGAAGGCAAATGTTTCCCATAGTATACACATCCAACCTCTGACCAAGTGCAGAGACAAAGCAAACCTGGTGCAATTTAGCTCCAGAGGAGAGTGGATGACAGTTCTCCTGCAAGGTGGAGGCCATGTATTGTGCCTGTTCTGAGTAGACATGGGTCTCTACCCTCTGGGTTTTCTGTCCATTTCCCAGACAATCACAAACCAACCCTGCTTTTAAGACAAAAAGGTGGGTAAAGGCCCACCCTTCTGGGCCTCACCAGCACCTTTGCAAATCAAGGTTGCTTCAGAAAACTAACGGGATCCAGAGGTGGTGGTGCACACCTTTAATCCCAGCACTTGGGAGATAGAGGCAGGAGAATCTCTATGAATTCCAGGCCAACCTGGTCTACAGTGTGAGTTCCAGGACAGCCTCCAAAGCTACACAGAGAAACCCTGTCTGGAAAAGCAAAACAAAACAAAACAAAATAACGAAAAGAAACAAAGTAGTAAAACAATCAGGAATCCCACCCTCAATATGCGTCATGCCCTGGATACCAGGAGGGATGGCCAAGGGCCACCCTCTCTGTCCTATAGCCTCTCAGGACTGACTCAGCACAAGGTATCCTGAGTCAAAATTAGTGTTCTGCTCAGACAAGAGCTGTCAGACACCATTTGGGTATGTCTAGGAGAGGGAGATTCACAGCCAGGTCCAGATATTCCTCTTTCTAAAATATATTCTTTTACCGCACTCACTCCTCTATGCTCACACTCATCTAGCCTGTATTTTCATGGCAAGCATCTAATGCTTGCACTTATCTGGCCAGGCTGCTACTTCCCTCGCCTTGTCCCTTCAGGTCCCCAGTCTGCTCTTGTGCTCATCACTACAGTATTCTTTGTCCCTCTTTTATCTGCCACACCCTGCAGAACAGGGACTTGGCACACCCTGTTTTCCTCTGTCTGAACTACTCTGGGCAACCCCCACCTTCTGCCCTCTTTATCTCCTCCCCCAAGAATTTATGCATTATTTATGCACTTCAGATAATTTTATCCTGCTCCACCCAGGGGCTGAGGAGAAGGCTGTGCCTGGTAGCTCACATTAATCAAAAAGCACTGCGGCAGTATTGATCTGAACATGACCTCATCCCACAAAGTCTCGACAGCCTGAGAAGATACAGCTACATTTAGCAGATGAAAAGAAATGAGTATCTTTGGGAGGGGTCTCATTTAAACACGGGCTCTGGGCTATCCTATCCAAAGCAGCCTAATTCACAAAGTCATGGAGGTAGCAATAGCAGAAAATGAGACTGAAATTGTTATGTGTGAGTGAAGAATATATGACTGGAGATTGGTTAGAGCAAGCTATTCTTCAGTCTACTCATCAATTAGTTATAGTTCATCTGCAGAAGGTTCTCTCTCCATGAAGGACAGACCGATACACTGACTCCCCTACTTTTTGAAAGGACCTATCCTTATGGACACTACACAGCATCTCAATGTTAGGGCTAAGGACCACTGAGACTTTTTGTAGGAATTTCTGTACTGTTCTGGTGTCCTGAAGCTTGAGTACTGCCATCAGGAAAAATACTGGCCAGGGAGGAAGGTATACTACACTTTTCTAGGTTGATGTGTGGGCTCAGAGGACACGGGGGGGGGGGGGGGCACTCCAACTACTTGGCCAGCAACCTGTCTCCATATAAAGAAATTCAGGTCCAGAGAAGATCTGCAGAGCAGTGGGGCCAAAAAGGACAGGGTAGACAAACTTGAGAAGGGTGGGACTGGGTCTGGGGTGGAAGTGAAGCCATTTAGCTGGAATCTGATGCTGACAGCCTGCTCGGTGCTAAGTGGGCTGGGTTCTGGTGCCTGGCATACAGTAAGTACTCAATATCAGTGACCTACTGCTATGTAAATACTGGATCATAGCTCTACAGACTTACTTTTGAGCTGTTTATTTTTCATACTAGATACTTCCTGAGCACTAAGTATGAGAATGAACTAGCAAATTCTAGTTGCTTCTCAAGAAGACAACATACAAGTACCCTGGGTCATCTGCAAAAATACTTTAGCTTCCTTCCTGCTCCATCTTCACTGGAGAGGGGCCATCAGGGAAGCCAATAAAGATGGACAGGCAGAGCCAGGAGTCCAGAGACAGTAAAATTTTCTTCTTCTAAATCAATCTACAGTAGTCTACCAATGGCTAAAAATGGCCTGAGGCTAAGTAGTGGCCCTCCCTTGGGCCTGCTTTAATATGCACCGTGGAAGGAGGCTGTTGAGATGGTTCAGCAGTTTTAACTACTGCAAGCCTGACAACCTGAGTTTGATCCCTGAGACCCATAGGTGAAAAGAGAACTGACTTTTGACTCCTACAAGTTATCTGCTGACCTTCACATGCATGCCACATACCCACAATCTTAAAAACGCAACTTTAGCATGTGATGAAGACAATACAGACACAATTCTGAATTCACAGTAACCTAGATGAATGAACTGCTGTAAGCTGTGGGAACCTCCTGTTCCTGCTTGCAAAGGCACTTAGGAAATTCAATGAGCAAATTATCTGAAAGCTCCCAAAGAGCTAGGGCTCAAAGAAAAAAGGGCATCAGCTCCCAGAAAGGCAAGCATTTGACAAGACTCCAGAAAATATTGTTAAAGAAGAAAAAACTATAGCACTAAATATTGAAAGCAGAGGTACAATTAAAATTTTTTCGACATAGGGTTTCTCTGTACACAGAACTTGTCCTGGCACTCGCTCTGTAGATCAGGCTGGCCTTGAACTCACAGATATCTGCCTGCCCCTTCCTCCTGAGTACTGGGATTAAAGGCATGTGCCATCACTGCCCAGCCGGCAATTTTTTTTTTTGAGACAGAAGGTAATCTTAAACAATTAGGGTGTTTTGGCCTAGAGAGATGACTCAGATTAACCGCATTTGTTGGTCTTGCAGAGAACCAGGATTCAGTTCCTGACATCCACTTGGTGGCTCACAACTGCTCCACAGGATCCAATGCCCTCTTCTGACTGCCTCTGGCACCAGGCACCCATATAATACACTCATACATGTGAAATTAACCTAAACAAAAGAATCTAGATAGTTTAAAAAAAATTTTAAACATGTATGAATGTTTTACCTCATTTCAAAAGACAGCTTTCGATCCCCTGTAACTGGATTTATAAATGAATCAGAGTTATCTTGGAGTTTTGACAATCAAACCTGGGACATCTGCAAAACCAACAAGGGCTCTATCTAAACTGCTGAGCATCTTTCCAGCCCATGTTTTGTTTTTTAAATCAAACAGAAATAAGTGTGACTAGAGCTCAGCATATGAGCTGTGACTTTGAATTGCAGTTCTCTGTTACCTGAAGAGCCATCATACTGCCTGTGTGGCACAGTGACTTCTAGGGACTAAAGACTTTCAGTTACAAGATTAAGCAGAATAACTGTGGTGAAGACAGGGGAGAGAGCTGGTGGGCTGATCAACCCTGCAACTACCCAGGCCCAGAACCAGGGTTATGAGTTGGCCCATTCCAGCATCCACTCCATCTATGGTCTGCTGAAGCATGCGAAGGGGCAGGTCCTGTAGATCCAAGGTTACAGGATCTACACACACACATGGCAACAACAGGATATGCAAGAGGAGTTCCAGTGAGTGCCCAGCATTGATAGTGTAGCAGAAACCAGAGGCCCCGAACCAGATCAATAACTCTTTACAGTGAACACTTTGCAGGTAAAGACATGTGGATAAAAAGGTTTACTACATAACTCACTATGCCGCACTACAGCTTCTATAATGAGATTTTTCCTTTTGTCCTCTTAAATTTTATTTTTGGAGGGGCGGTTGCAAGGGCAGAGGGTGGTTACGAAGGGATAAGAAATGAATGGGATCGAGATACATGATGTGAAAGACACAAGAATAAATAAAAAGAAAGAAAAGGAAGAAGGGAGAGAGGGAGGGAGGGAGGAAGGAAGGAAGGAAGGAAGGAAGGAAGGAAGGAAGGAAGGAAGCAAGCCAGGTGGTGGTGGTGGCAGTGCACACCTTTAATCCCAGCACTTGAGAGGCAGGTGAATCTATGTGAGTTCAAGGCCAGTCTGGTCTACAAGAGCTAATTCCAAGACAGCTAGATCTACACAGAAAAACCCTGTATGGGGGAAAAAAAAAAAGAAAGAGAAAGACAGAGAGAGAGGGAGGAAGGAAGAAAAGAAAAGCAGAATGGCTGGTATATTGGATCAGAGCAATAAAAAAGCTGACTACTGTCAACAAGAACTGAAAACTTTATGTAGAAATGTCTTATGGGTGCTCTACTCTCTAACCATACGGTAGACATTTTAACAGAGGTTTCTAAAAGCCAACAGAAGAAACCAAACAAACATACTCTTTATTTTTGCACAATGCCTACCACACAAAGGATTCTG